CTCGGATATCGGAGATGTCAACCAAGATGGAAAGGCCGTAAGCTTCGACGACGGTCAAATTGAGGAGTGCAGTAAGCTTGCAGTGATAGGGGTGTGAGCTTGCAAGACACAGATTGGTGTTGCTTGCAGTGAGAGCATCCTGGGAATGTGCCCAAACAGCATGATGTGAGGAGCCCGAAGAGGTAGCAAACAAGCAGGGCAGGGTCAGGCGCTCAGGTGTCGCGCCTGTCAGCGAGATTCGTCCAGCAGCCACAGCTTCCTTTAGTAGGTTCTTAAGCTTGCAGATTATCGACTGACAGGGTGTGGCCCGAAGGGGCACAGGGTTCCTGCGTGCAGAAGATGTGCAGAACCTCGTCGGGGAGGAGGACGAAGAAGAAGCAGAGGCCGCTCTTGACTTCAACTTGGTCTGACTGCCGTGAACTGGACTGCAAAATTCAGGCCGGCAGCGAAGAACGACGACCTGTGTCCTTTGCCATACCTGCCAAGGTTCGCGTGCCTACAAGTCTTGTGCATGCTTCGCTTGGTCATAAAATATGCTGTGATGTCGATTCGATTGCCAAGAACTCGAAGCAAGGCCTTAAATGCCGATGTTGTGCTGTTCGGTGTATGGCTTATGTGGTAGCGGTGGCGGTGGTGGTGGTGATGGTGGTGGCGCGGCGGCGGCTGTGGAGGTGGCGGTGAGGGTGGCGGCAGAGACCCTGGTTAATACAGTAGTGACTCCGTGGTGTTGCTGTGACTGCGACTTTTGCTGGTACTCTTGCCGTTGCTCTTCTTCTCCTTGGTGCCATGAAGCTCTTGGCTTTGCCTTGTCCTCGGTTCACCCCAGCGCAACAATCTTCTTCCTCGAAGTTTTGCAAGATGCTAACTGAACATTCCCTTGCACGCGGCCTCAGGAGGCTGGAATTGAAAGGGAAAGTGGACCAGTGGTGTTCGGCTTGGTGTGTTTGCTTCAAGCTGCTGCCAGAGCCAGGGCTGAGACTAAGTGAGAAGTCAGCAAGGTTCGCAAAGGCACGGGCTTCGTGAGTGCGGCCGACCTGCCCTCGGACGAGGAGCGTCGAACCGCGGGATGCAGAGAGGCGGCGAACGGTGTGAGCGCACGCGAACTGCAGGAGGAGGAGCCTGACTCCCAAAGGCGCGTGGCCTTCGATCCTTCATCGCAGGCAAGTGAGGATGGTCGGGTGTTCCGGAACTGGGCCTGTCCCTCCTGCTGTTCTGTCAGGCTGGCAGTGATGCTGGGCCAGCAGCCGCGCACCCAGCCTTGTGCGATTCGTAGGCCAACAACTTCAACAGCATGTGGGAAGTCTTGCGCCGAAGCATGAACAAAGCCCGCACGCCGAAGCCACCATGGTTCGGGCGAAGCCGAGGTGCGGCGCGGCACCGGTTTCGTCGGCATGGCAGAGTTGCCTTCGGATGACGAGGAGGCCGCACAAAGTCTAAAGAATGCTGCGAGCCAAAAACACAGCCTTTGGGCAGAGTTTTAAGCCTCCAGGACGACGAGCCTGCAGCACATCGCGTGGCCTTTGACCCCGGCACACAGGACGGGCACTCGGCTTGCAGATTCTTCGACAGATTGCTTTGAGAGGCGAGGTCAGGGCATGAGACTCAGCCGCATGACCCGGCAGGAAGGCAGCGGCGGGCTTGTGGCGCTGGCCTCAGTTAGTGCGAGCCAGCTGCGATGCGCTGCATACAGAATGCAGAGTGAGGCTCGCGTGAAAACCGGGGCTGTCACGACCCGCATGGAGGCCTGCCGCATCCTGCCGCCTTGAAAAGAAGGATGTGAAACAGCCATGGCATGCGTGGTCAGGGGCCCGACTCACCGCAGGCCACGTGGCTGTTTGGACCTGCTTTAATTGCCATTCAGACCGGCTCGTCCGTCGTGTTTGTTTCAACGTGGTGCAGTCTCCCTGGCTCTACACTCAAAACCTGTGCAGCGCAGGGCCACGGACGTCTCCAGGCGCCTGCGGATCAGCTTCTCGGAGTCCCGAGAGCAGTGGGAGAGCCGTCGGAGAGCAGTCGGAGGTCAGGCAGAAGACCAGTCGCTTGGCATCGGGTGACCTGGCGCAGCTCTGCTCCTCCGACGAAGAGGCGCTTTTGTGCGAGAAAGGGGCCTTGACTTCGCTGCCGAGGACACCTTTGTCTTGCTTTTCATTTAGGGCAAGGGTGCGAGATACGAGACACGAGCACGAGAGCTTAGGCCCCACATGTTGCACCTGTGACCAGAGGTGGATGCGGCCGGTGAGCCCTCGCCAGCCTCAGGCAGTCGCGAGGCCGGAAAGCTTTGCGTTCACAGTGATGCGCTTGATCCAGACATTGTCATGAGTCATGAGCAAAAGGCTCCGCAAGTGGCTGAGAGCCAGCTGGCAAAGGTGTCTTTCGACCCAGCAGAGGCAAGCTGGCAGTGTTGCCTGTGATGAGTCATGATCTTGTCTTGTCGCGGTGAGGATGAGAAGCCAGAAATCCCAAAGACCGGCACGAAGGTGCTGCTACAGATGAGATCTGCATGCAGCTATGACTATGACCCGCTTGTAGGAGGACTTGATAGGACTTGTGTTACTCGATGTTGTGCTTTAATTGCCACCACTTTTCTTTGAAGGTCACCAGTCGCAAGGGCACCGGCTTCTTGCGCAAAGAGGATCTACAGGACCTGCCTTCCGATGAGGAGGAGGAAGCTGACGAGGCGGATGTTGACATAGACGGATGTCGAGGTCAGGCCCAAAACGGCCAGACATGCGCATGCTCTCTGACCCATTTGATCCTTGCATCGTGGTGTCATGCATCGCACAGGCTGCGGACATTTATCTATCTGTTTGACAAGCAAAGAATTGATTTCGGGCGGGTAGGGCTTGCGCAGTAGGCCGTCCTGGCATGAAGGGTGGGTTGCAAAGCTGCAGGCTCAGCAGATGGCTCACGGAGACAAAGCAGTAAGCTTCGAGGCAGGAAGTCAGATTCAGGAGCGCAGGCAGCAGTGGCCAGCTTGTAAGTTAATATGTCGGATCTCCCATCCACGTGCGAGGAGTCCGAAGATCAACCGCGTCGTGTCAGGTGCTGAGGCTTTGGATCTGGAATTTGTTTTGTTCGGGCTGCTTGGATTTTCTCATGTGCATCTGTTTCTCTGTCTGTGACCTTGAGCACGAGGTCGTGGCGCGAAAGGGAACTGGGTTTTTGCATGCCGGAGATGTGGAGAACTTGGTGGATGAGGAAGAGGAGGAGGAAGAGGAGGAGGCACGGAGTGCTCGAAGACAATGACAAGCCTCTGTGCGTTGTACTCCGTGCCTCGAACATTGAATGCCACTCTAGGCAGCTCGACTCTAGATAGCCAATCGACCCTTTGGTTTATTTGCGATAAAAGCCTGCATTCGATCGTTTCTGTACCAGACCGTTTTGGGCACCTCCCCATCCTAACCGGACCAGTCGCGTGCTGCCGAATCCCACCACTTTCTCTTGACTTGGCCTAGGAGGACGGACGGAGAAAGGTTGGCTTCGAAAAGCCGGCAGAGCAGGCATACACCGTGGCAGCAAGCGAACTGACACACTCTCGCATGGTAGCTAAGCGAGCTTTCATCGGACACGTGCATGGCGTCAGATGTTTGCTTTATCGGCTGTGCCTTAGAGAGGCTCAAAGAGAACGAGAGGGAAAGCCTGTGGCATTTGCCCCAGTCTCCGTTGTTCGAAGATGGTGTTCTTTCCGGAGTGAACGCAGACTCGCAAGGCTCGCAAGGGCACCGGCTTCGTCAATGTGGGCGATCTTCCGTCGGATGACGAGGATCG